GCGCCACGTGCTGACCCGGCCCGATCCTGCAGGGGCCAGACGGCGCGCCCTCGCCGGCGCCGACCCAGGCCTGCCTCGGCGCGCGTAAAAACGGCCAAAAAGCGCGCGCCCCGCCCGGCCGGCGGCGCCGCGTGTTTGCGGTGCGGGCGCGCCGCGGCGGCAGGGGCGGCACCGGCCTGTTTGAACAGGGGGCGGCCGGGCGTGCGCAGGCGTGCTGTAAATCACCTCCCACCGGCGGCGCCGCCTCCGCCCCGCCGGCGCCGCCAGCGGGGCGGTGCCGGCACCGGCCGACGCGTGAGACGCTACGTCGGGACGTACTCCCACGCCGAGCGGGCCGAGCGGGGCGGGCGGCCTCCCGCCCCTCCCGACTCTGGTGGGCAGGTGGCGGCGGGAGCTTCGCAGCTCACAGCAGGCCCAAGAACGAAGCTTGGAGGAGATTAGGATTTTGGCAAGCTGCCCTTTGGCGAGTTTTTGTGCATCCAAACTTTCCATTGCGACGACTCAACATTGCAATATTCGTTTCTGCAAATGTTGGTGCATCGCCTTGGTTGATGGAAGCCTCGATCACCGATGCCAGCCGTTTACCGGCCGGCCAGCCGCGCGCCCAGCCTCACACAGTGACCGGCCGAGAGTGGCAGGCCGGAGCTGATCTGGAATGACGCGGCGCACCTTGGGTCCGAGCAAGCCAGATGCACCCACTCGCCTTGCGTGGGCTGCGGGGACCGGAGTAGACGACTGGTGGGCTCGTGGCCTGCCAGGCCGTCCTGTACAGACGAATTGGCACGAATATGTGCATTGTGAGACGCATGGCACGCGCACAAAATGATTCGGTGGTCAACGCACAGCAAACACCACACCCCTGTCACCTGCAAACATTACTCATTAACCACCACCACCGCCGCCACCGCCACCACCTGCACTCCACCGCCAGCACAGCAGATGACACAGTGGGCAGATGACACAGTGGGTGACATAGCAAATGACACAGATGACACAGATGACACAGTGGGCGACACAGATGACACAGATGACACAGTGGGCGCGCCGAGCAAGTAACGCAAGCGTCCTGACGTGCACTTTTGAGCCGTCAAGCAGCAGCGTCCGGTAAGCGTTCCTTAGATGATCATTGACCAGAGCAAGGCTCCGGTGCTTATCCGGAAAGAATGCTGCGGCGGCGCTGGTGGATGGTACGGCGGCGGCATTCACGTGGGAACCGTACAAGGCGGAGTGAATCAGGCCGCAGCCTTAAAAACGTCCTGTTAAACCCAACGCGGATCTTGACGTCGGGAAGTTGGGAAAGACGTATGTGATCGGTGAGTGTTAGAGGAACGATTGTTGTAATTTTACGACGCCACGAGGGACCGTTCGAAGGAGCAGTCATGCACAGGGCGGGAGAGGCAGCTGGAATGGCTGTACCCACGTCCTGGAGATTGGGGACAGAGCGGGATCTGGGGACGGCCTGCCCACAAATCGTATTTACAGAAAAGTGCACAGCACCTTCATATCACGACACAAATTGAGGGACAAGCTAACGTTGGCAAGACTGGGAGGAGTCTCCTCTGCACACGCGTCATTGGTGGCGCAGTCTCCTCCTCACACGTGTCAGTGGGGGCACAATCTCCTCTCCATACGACTCAGTGGTGGCGTAGTCTCCTCTCCACTCGACCCAGTGGTGGCACAGTCTCCTCTCCGCACGACCCAATGGTGGCACAGTCTCCTCTCCATACGACCCAGTGGTGGCGCAGTCTCCCCTCCACACGACCCAGTGGTGGCGCAGTCTCCTCCCCACACGCGTCAGCGGTGGCGCAGTCGGCGGCCGGTGAGGTCAGCGGGCCGTCAGCGGCCAGCTCGGGCGGACCGACACCGGAGCCGGGGTCGCGCCGCGGCCGGCGCCACCCCGACGGCGGCCGCCGGGGGCGCCGGCGAGGCGAGGTCGCCGCGCGGCCCGCCGCGCTGGCGCCACCGCCCGCCGCAGGCGCGCAGGCCGCGCCACCCGGCCCCGACGGCTGCGCCGGGAGGCCCTGGCAGCTGCGCCCAGAGGCCCCGACGGCCGCTGGGAGGCCCTGGCAGCTGCGCCCAGAGGCCCCGGCGACATGCGCGGTGCTGGGCGTTAGGCTTGACGCTGGGGCGGGAGAGTGGAGGAGGGTCCGTGGCGGCGTGGAAGGCATGAAGCCAGTGGAGGCGTCATTGGATGTCTAAGCCAGTGGAGGCGTTATTGGATGTCTAAGCCAGTGGAGGCGTCATTTGATGTCTATGTGACGTGGAGTCTTGAGCGCGTCACAAGGACAATCTATCAAACGGCATGGTCTCGGGGGACCTCTCTGGGCTGTCTTTAGCTCTTGGTGATGGGAACAATGGTATGAAATCAGATAGCAGCAATCGAAGAAAAATGATCAAATGACGGAACTCAAACATCGACTAAATTGTAAATAAATTGCAAATAATTGCAATTACAAATGCCAAACCAGAAAAAGTGGTAAAATGTCGGCTGGGCAAGGTTATGTGCGCAATGACGAAGATCGAAGCGGCAAGTGTTGGAACGGTAAGGTTACCATGGAGTAAATATTACCCGACGCTCGTCAGGAGCGCAATATTGAACAACTAGCTGGCGAAATAATCTAACGATAAACATCGAGATGCGCAGTCCAAACCGCGCCGGCGAGCAGCTTTCCGGGTGAAGGTTTACAACTTTTTGCTGCCCTTACCATTACGAACTGCTGAATCCGGAGAGTAAGGGCACACTGACTTTTCAGGAAGACGAAGACACCTACTCCTGGACCAAATTCTATGTTGTATCTGCGAAGGCTTGCTGCAATCGAAAATGACTCCTGCTTATCTAATATGATCAGATGATCAGTGTGCCTAGCTTAGTCAGCGTCAAATATTTGTCAGGAAAAAGTTATGAAGCATCATTTGCGCATCATTTGCGCATCATTTGCGCATCAAGCATCAGTACAGTGATGCGCATTTAGCGCATGCGCATCAACAGAGGCATTGCGTGCAGCTCTTCATATTTCCACTTCTGGATGCCGGGTCCGGATAATGCCACTACGAAACGATTTAGCGGCATCGCTTTCCATCTCTTGTGGGTCGCTTGCCTTCCGTAATCAAGTTTAGCTATATGTAGTTGATAATGTGCACATTAGGCCGCCGTGCGTACCGATATTGGCCTCTGTCTATTCTCATCTCTTCAATATTTTGTCATTCATTCATGTTCAGTTCGCTGTTTATACTAGTCATACCAGTCGATGTTGATCTCCTGCCAGTCGCTACCTTCGATGAGTTCGCTGTGTTGTTCTTCCATGCGTTTCTTAGGCATTACATATTTTGTCCGAAAATGTTCAAGCATTGAGTCGGTGGGGCCGCTGGTGCCCCCCCCCCCTTGAAGTCAGTACGTGGTGTCATTATCACTATGTTCCCTGTGAGGTGTTGGGAGTGTCCTTTGGCAGTTGTCCACTCCCGTGAGCTTCCAGAGGCTACCGGGACTCTGTGGGGTCTATCCGGTAGTCTGCCCAGTGTACAACCTTGGAAGGCACCCGGTCTCTGGCAGTACGTAGTCACCAGGATCAGCTTTATCCTTCTTTTGCGACGGCTAACTCAGCATCTATTTTCTGCGTCTCCCAAGCCATTGCCGCCTCAGTTTCTTCTGGAGAGCTATGGGCCTCTGTCCGGGTTCGGATTTGGGCTCGAGTCGGTTTGAAAGCCAGGAACAAGGTGCTGGGTGAACAAGGTGCTGGGCTGAAACCAGCACAGTATCGACGTTCTAGCACGCTGCCATGAGTGAAAAATGCCTTTCTCAGCGACGTTTGTCGTTTTTGGCATCCTAACCATGTGGCGCATTGCCTCATTGGATCGCCTGTTGACAGTGCAGGAGTCCAGCTCCGGCAGAGTCTCCGGCAGACTCAGGATCTCATTCTCAGAGTCCTCTCTCTCTCTCTCCCTCTCTCTCTCCTCTCTCTCTCTCTCTCTCTCTCTTCTCGCCTCTCTCTCTCTCTCC